TCAACCGCCTCAACGAGAGCTTTCGGGACATGCAGCTGAAGCTGCTGCACCTACCTCTGAAGGGGGACGTGCTGGATCACATCTGGAGGCTCCAGGACCTCCTGCAGAACCACTCGGACTCCTTGTTCCTCATGACGGGGTCACTGCAGAAGCTGGAAGGGCTTCTCTGGAGCCTGCAGACCCAGGCCAGCCAAACCGACAAGGCAGTGTCCAACCTCTGGGACAGCTTGACCCAGCAGAGCGACGCGGCTCAGCAGGAGATGTACAAGCTCTCCGTGGAAGGCAACAGCAGCTGGCTGCTGCTGCAGCACCATGACCATCTCCTGAGCCACCTGAGCAGCAGGGTGGAGAGCCTGAGTGACCAGGTGACGACTGTGAGCGGGGCCATGGACACCATGAACAGGACCTTCTCCTACGATGTGAACATCCACCATACCCGCATCCAGGACCTGCAGGTGCTGATCAGCAACGCTACCGCAGATGCCCGGCAGATGCGTCTCATCCACATAGCCACGGAGGAACAGCTAAAGCATGAGCTGGCCATCCTCAACAATGTGACCGAGGACCTACGACTGGAGGACTGGGAGCACTCCACGGCGCTGAAGAACATCTCCGTGATACGGGGTAAGCTGAAAAGCTCTTCGTAAGCAGCTCCCCTGCTGGTGCATGAAGCTGTCATGAGGAGGGGGGTGTCCTCAGTGCTTTGGAGGGTGGTGGAAATGGTCCCTGTGGCATGGGGATGTCCTGTGGGGATGTCTCTGGGTGTATCAAACCCATCAGACACCACTGTTTAGGTGTCTGCAGTGTTCAGATGTCTCCATCACCTTGGACTCTACTCCAAATGCTCCCCCATCCATGTTAGGAAGAAAGCTCCCAAGGCTCCCTCAACGATGGCTGGGGAAACTCTGCCAGGTCCCTCCTGACCATGAAAATGAGCCAGACTAAGCATGACAGAGACGGCGGGGTTTCGTCCTGCTTCGTACTGCAGTGATCAAGCAGAGGGCTGGCCAGCAGCTACCCTCAGTCATCGTCAATCACTTCACTCGCTTTACCGTACATGCCCTTTACTCCATTTTCCTCCTCCTGTCTTCTCCTCCTTTACCACCCTCAGCCCCTCCTGAATCATCAAATCACAGAATCCCCGATGGGTTGGGGTGGGCAGGGACCGTTAAAGCCCATTTAGTCCAACCCGCCTGCCATGGGCAGGGACACCC